TAGCAGGGACATGGGAATCAGAACCTGTGTGTTTGATACCTGTACTCTGCATGATTGAGATCCTGCATGTGGAATTTCACCTTTTTTTGGTGCAGATGTACTCCCCTTCACCAAGAGCATGACTGAAAAATCAAAGAGCCCTCTAAGTGCCCATTTTCAGTTGCTATTCGTGTCCCCACTTGCTTACTTTGAAAATGGACTAGATTTCAAATCACTGTAAATGTTAAAATACTGAAAAGATGTTTTTTCTATGCGTTTTATTTCTCATGATCGCATTTTCAGGCTAAATTCAAGTAACCTGTGCAGCAGACACAGGTTGCTTAAATAACCTAATACTGTCTAGAATGGCTTTTCTCAACCATAACACTTTTATGACAGAATGGCTTTATGTTCTCGTATATGGTCTCTAGCAGCAGATCAGTTAGCCTTCTAGGYTGTAGGTTATCAGCTTGTCCATTGTGGAAATGGCATGTATAGATATGTCTGACGAACAATCCAGCCTGAGAAGATGGGTGGTGAGATGTAAATCCACCCACACAGGCAAACATTAAAAAAGGATGGTAAGACTATCCAAAAGAACAGGGCAGCATCAGGGTGAAGGACTACCTTCTACGTGCTTTCCTGCCAAATCCTTTAGTGCTTGTATGCCAGTGCCCTTGGCTGCTGAATGGCATGTGCTATGTTTGACAAGCAAATGAGTTAAGGCTTTTGATGCGTGTGCTTTTCAGAATACAGGAGCACAGTATTTGGGTGTGCTGTAGCAGTCCCAAAGAGGGARACTCCACGACCCCCCTAGGCAGCYTGTTTCAGWGCTCTRCCACCCTCAATRTGAAGAAGTTCTTCCCCATGTTAAGGTCGAACTCCTTGTGTCTTAGTTCGWGSCMWTKSYYCYTKKYCYKKTKSYKGGSMMCMMYKAAAAGAATCTGGCACCATCCTCTTGGTACCRCCTTTGAGATATTTATATTTACTGATGAGATTCYCCCCTCAGTCTCCTTGGAACTAAAYTGGTCCAGTTCCTGCATCTCTCCTCAGCGCAGAGATGCTCCAGATCCCTCAATCATCACTGTGGYCTCTGCTGGACCCTCTCCAATAGTTCCTTGTCTTTCTTGCACTAAAGAGTCAAGAACTGAACACAGCATTCCAGAATTGCCTCCCTGGGGCTGAGTAGAGATGGCTAATCACCTCCCTCGACATGCTGGCCACGCTCTTCACGATGTACCCCAGGACTCTTTCCTGGCCCCTCTCCCTCTTTTCCTGCCATTCCCGGGGGATCGCGGCCGACCCACGCGGCGGGTTTCGGGAGCAAAGSGCGCGGGCACCGTCCGTGCCCTCASCYGGCTCCCTGCCCGCGTTCCCCCCGCTCCGGCCGGCTCAGGCTCCAGCTGGCAGCACCGCACCTGTTCAGCAGAGGCTGCCCGGCGATGCTGCACGCACAAGATCCGCGGGATGGGGCTCAGCGCCGTGCTGGGGACAGGCTCCGCTTCCGAGGCAGGGAGCGACAGGGGTCTGGAGAAGCGCCGGAGAGTGTGCCGCTGTGGAGAATGAGCCAAGAGGTGGATTTGGGAGCGGATGCAACAGGTGACAGAAGAGCAGGGGGGAAGACCGCTACGAGTCCCGGGGTTAAAGACACAAAGTTCGGTGGGTGTCCCGCGGGCAGGGTCAGTCTGAGGACGCGACAGCTTTAGTTACCCCGGGTATTCACCCCGCCAGCCCCGGAGGTGGAGGT